GTTAATATAAGTTAAATCAATATGATTACAACTTTGTTTCGTCCTTTAAAGACTCATCAGTGCAGTTCAGATAAATAAGAAGAGTGCTCAAACTACATATAGTAGTGGGCCAGCTAAATGCAAAACAACACACACACACACACCCACACAAACACACCTACATACATACATAAATACACACATGCATACACCCATATATACATACATACATACATACATACATACAGAAGAATTTATCATTTCTCAACCAGACGGGATTCGAACCTGTAACATCTCGTGTTCATTGTCGGGGGGTGGGGGGAAACAACTTAAAGCAAATCTGACCTTTGATTAAAAAATTCGACCGGTCGATCATCAAAATGGTGTACGGTACAACTTTCGTCTACGTGTCACTTAAATATCTCAAATTAAAATTATCTTACGTATTTCTTAGAACCTCATACAATGAGATTTAATTGTTAAACCGTATTACTAGTAGGCCTATCCATAAACAAGATTATAATTATGTCGCTGTATCAATGCCTTATGAACGTCATCCCAATCATGACCTAATTGACAAATGGAATATACATTGAATCAATTACGTTGTTTGAAGTTAATGAGTGAGGTATACACCTACCTAAATAAACAGATTGGGTGAGTATAAAAGTAGGGCATAGCACGTTATACTTTATTATAGTTTTATGTTACAAAACACGCTGGATTAATAACCCAATATCCAATATTCATATATAATAATTATTTATTAAAAAATGAAACCCAAACAAATGTTGTAGAAGTCTATTTTGTAGCTTTTGTTTTACGTAAAATAACAAGGAATAAGAGTCGACAAAAAGTATCGATATTCACACATTATCAACGGTTCTCATTCTGTATTCTATTTAAGTGTTGCTGTGTTTTAATAAATAAGATGCACGCCTTCTAATCTGGAGGTCTTGGGTTCAATCATAGAATAAACATCAGGTATTCTCACAAACAAAATATTAACTTTTCAAGCGGAAGATTAGGCTTTAAGGGTCCCAAACTAATCAGATTCGTCGCGATGAGCATTGTCGTTGGATATAGATGTACGGTAAATAAACACACTTAGGTGCGGCTTAAAGTCTACACATTTTAAAAGTGCCTTGTGCCTGTGACCAGCTTAGGAAGTGAACCCGCAGACGACAAGTAGGTCGTACTCTCAAAGATCAAATTAAATCCGTGGCCATAATAATTAGGCCTAAGCAAAATTACCTGTATATCTCTCTTTATTATACCCTCAATTAGTTTGCCCACATTCTCCGATAGTGTTAGCGAATCATTATCCGTGTGTTTGTTTTTTTAGTACATCGTGATAACGGGAGAATGAGCAAAATTAGAGGATACTGCAACACAAATATAACAGGGTTATAGGTTGTTCAAGGCAAAACTGGACAATAAATTCATATCATTAAAACCAAATTACCAATATATCTGGGTTACCTGAATTGATAAGTTGACTGCTTGGGTATTGGTTATGTAGGTCTTATAACTGCAAAATTATACCCCAAGCACCCACTTAAAGAAATAAGGCTGAATAGGCCTACATTTCCTTTAGGTGGCGTCGCAGCAACACTTTTGAACTCTACTGTGGCTACAGCCAGCAGTTTATTATTCCACCCGTAAACAAAGGTGTTCAGTTTCTTTGAAATAATTGTTAAAATTAAAACAGTTTAGTAAATTAACAACGGGGTAGTAGTCGGTATATACATAGGCAATTCTAGACTACAATAGATACAGTGCAGTGTCTTTATAGTATTTTCTTCACAAATCATGAAACGGATGGTAACAATTCAATTATAATGATATCGACTTTTTTTTTGTAAGTTAGTTGGAACGTATAGACCCATGGATAACGATAGCATTAAACCTAAATTAGAGATAAAAAAGCAAAAATATTTTAGTATTGTCAAGTTTTGTCATTTACGGTATTGGGATGAACAATAAGCTCTATATATAAATATAATTACAATGGTTTAGTAATGACGCTATCAATTTGAGTGTTTAAAACGAGTCTTTAATTGATGAAAATCACAAATATCGTATTTGCAGCTGTGTATAAATTCATTCTACTTAATTTGAAAACAAAAATGGGAGCCGTGTTTGAGTTACGCCTATAGCAACATGCTTCAAGATAGAAACCATAATTCCAGTTTTCATAGGCCTAATATATTTATGATATATTTATCTGATGATTTAACATATTCAATATTAATTTACATGGTAAGTTATATTACCTGCGAAGTTTCCTGCATCGTAAGTCTGCTGTTGATATTTTCCTGTTTGGGTTCGATGAAGTTGCTTTGAAAACCTTCGGAGCGTCAAGATTGTAATATGGCTTCTCGTCAGTATTACTCAGAAACGGCGTAATAAAAAACCTTGCCGAAGATTTTTTTTCCCGTTTGTCCTCACCAGCCATAGCATACTGTTTTTCGATACCGTAAGTATACATAAGCGTTGTTTTGGTTTGCTCGCGCGATTTCAAAGCGCTAAATATCGGATCTATGATTTGGTTGGACATTTCGTTCGATGTCGCCTGCAAGTAAACAGACAATCAATTTTCCGTACGCGGAGGTCTACCTTTACATCCCTCGTACCCTCGATTTTAATTGGCTGCTCGGTAACAGATATCAGACGATTATTGTATGCTGTGTGTATTGTTCCTTGGTAAGGAGGTCCTATCAACATAAACCTCATAAGGAATTGATAAAAATCATTAGAGTGTTTACCCTGTTTCTTGGACACCTCGTAATAGGCAGGTCCGGCATCGAAGCAGGAAGTTAACAAATTCCCCTGCGTGTTAGATGATATAATGATAATTAATTGGACACCTCGTAATAGGCAGGTCCTGCATCGAAGCAGGAAGTTAACAAATTCCCCTGCGTGTTAGATGATATAATGATAATTAATTTTAGGGCTGCATAAGTTCGACCTCTCTGACAAAAAATGGCAAGCCCATGCTCTAAAAAAAAATTATCTGCTTTGATTCGTCCTTTCCGCTAATATTGTTGAAAAAGCGTGAAACCAAGGACTTTTAACTGTACCAGGCTTAAACTCTGAATTGGGGGGGGGGGATTGGGGCATGCGCGTATTCTTTGCTATTAAAAATATGTTTCAACTGGTCAGTGTTTAGTTTGATTAATGAAAATGATGATGATGATGATGATGAAGATGAGATCATAATGACGATGATAATTGTGATAAAGATAATGATGATGATGAAGATGATGTTAATGATGAAGAGATGATAATGATACATGAACAATGTAATGGATGAAAGTAATAAACGAATAGTGATAATTAATGCAGGCCACTAATAAACCTCAATGGAAGGTGCCGATAAGACAAGTTGACTGGTTGACTATAAACAACCACGTCAACCTTGTTAATTGCTTGCACTATAATCGTTTGCTAATATTTTTAATCACCAAAATTCATTAGACGACCAAGAACATTTACCGCAATACCACGGAATACATAGTAGGCTAATAAAGATGATGCTTACACAACATGTTAAACTACGATAATACTTCGACTACAGGCCCGTAGCAGCTTCAGCCAAGGGGTGGGGTTCAGGGCGTGGGGGTCAAGGGTCGAAGCCCCGGAAGCCGGAGCTTTTTTGCACTTTTAAAGGGTGTATATGGCAAATATTTAAATACTTCTGGCAGTTTAAAATGAAATACATTTTTGTAATTATCCAATGCAAAGAAGTAAGAGTTCTAGTATGCAGGGCCTCTAAAGTAATAATGATCACTTCTATTCAACACAGGATTTTAAAACTGTTGTTAACAACGCCCAGTAAAAACACTGAAATTTGAACATCAAATATAAATTTGAACATCAATATTTATTGTAAAAACAACAAAGTAGAGTTTTTGTTTTGTTTTGTTTTGCTAGAAATCAATCTTACAAATACTCTAATACTACTATACAATAAAAGCAATGTAATTGTTTAAGTCACATGGGTTTCCTTGTCAAAGAGGGGTTTGCTTCTCAAAGGGGGTTCGCTGAAAAAGGGATCGGACGAACCCTCAGGAACCCCTGGCTACGGACTTGGACTATATCGCTAAGATGGAATAAAACAAGCCGATGATGAACCGTTCCATCGATCATCGACTGTATGCAGATGACTCAAAGGTAGAAATAGCATGCGGCATAACAATTCAACATGTTGATGTATGTTCGGTAGACGACAAGACTCCAGACTTACTATGATTAATGTGTTTACCAACCCTTAATATTGATATCATATTGTATGAAATAATGTGGGAAGTCGTCTTTAGTCTAGGTATCATACAATAATACTATGCTAAGTACCGGAAAGCCATGAAGTGGTTTGGCACAAAGCATTCAGACTAACAAACGTTAGAACAGTTTTTTTTTTATTGAGAATATAATAACAGTGTTTAAATAGATACACTGTTACTATTGGCTTTTCCCAGCACTAGCTGGAAAAGCCATTATTTTTGTTCTTTTTTTTTGTTTTTGTTTTTTTTTGTTTCATACATACTTTTATTATCTATCTTATTCCGCGCGGTACTTTGGTCATTTTCAATGGTTAGCTCTTTTCCAAAATCTGTAGAAGCATAGACCATCAAGGATGTGCCTCCTAATATTTTGTGTCAATCTAAAGTGGGGTGTGGAAGTGAGGTCCAATTAAAGGGATCTTAGGACAAACGCTCTACACCAGATATTTCAAAAACTGGTCAACTGCTCTGAATACAACTTTTATAAAGTTGTATTCCTTGTAGGTTACAAGGAAGACATTATTATGTGCTGGTGATTCAGTTTAGGGTGTAAATTTGAGGTCATTTAAATTTCTGACGTCAAAGGCAAAAATCTAATCAATTGGTCAAAAGGAAACATTCTATAATAGTCTGTCATGGTCCAATGAAGAATTATTACATTTTGATGACGATCCCGGTGTAGGGTGTGGATATGAGGATGAAAACGTCCAGACTAGATAATGGTCTCAATGAAATTTTCGTGAATGCTTAACCAAGTTACAAGGAAGAAATAATCACACTTTGATGACGATCAGGTTTAGGGTGTAAATTCGAGGGTCATTTAAATTTCTAACGTCCCAGTCCTAAACACTGTATCTCTAAAACATATTCAATGGGTCAAGAGGATATATAGTAGTTTGTCATGGTCCAATGAAGAAATAATTAAATACTTGTGACGATCCGGCGTATGGTATGGATATGTATGAGAACCACTTAAAGAAAAATGTCCCAGACCAGATATTTAAAAAAACCAATCAACTTAACTGAATGGAACTTTCGGTAAGGTTTAACCAAGTCACAAGGAAGAAATTATAATGTGTTGGTGACGATCCAATTTAGGGTGTGATTTTGAGGGTCACTTAAATTGCTAACGTCCCAGTTATAAATGGACCTACATGATACTTTCCTGAAAAGTTTTTCATGGTCCAATAAAGAAATGATCTTTTTTTTTGTGACAACCCGGAGTAGGGTGTGGATATTAGGATTTGCCATTATAGCAATGAAGAAGAGCCCTATGCCCTGTTTTTCAAACAGACCTGGGCTAGTAAGTCTAATTATTATTAGTTGTATTGTTTTTACAGTGCAATATTATTAATATCGGATAGACACAAAAATTGGATCATTTCTTCATTGGACCATGAATACGGTAACTTTTCTGGAAAGTATCATGTAGGTCCATATCTGTCTCTTATACACATCTATAGACGACAAGACTCCAGACTTACTATGATTAATGTTACGTTTCTACTTTGTGTATCGTACTTATTTTATAGTAGAGGGTCATAGGCCTAGCCGAAGTTAAATTGTGGGCGGAAAGACGATATTTTCATGAGGGGGAAATGCTTGGATGTTTTTTTTTTCGTAATGTAGGGAGTGGACGATCAATAACTTCAATTTTTTTGACATGGCCTTTTAGTCAAGCCACAGGAATCTAAGTAATTGTGTAAACAATGCAACGTGTTCAAAACAGCTAAAAATCTGGAATGAATATCGACAGTAAAGTCAATATTTTTCTCTCAATTAAGCTGAAATATGGATTTATGTTCACTTCGTGAGATGGAGGCTTTGATGATCTATGTTGTTAGATATTTTCAGGCCGGTAAGTTTCGAGTCCCAGACGTTATCTGACGCACTGGGTTACATCACTTTGAAATAAGCATAATTATAACATAGATCACCAAGACATACGTAGAACATAGTATGGCCAGGTATATTATTTCCTCTTTGAGAAATCTATTAGGCCTACAATTAATTTTATTTTGCAATCAGAATAGAATGTTATACCATTTAATAATAAAAGCCACGCTTTTACATGGGTCATATATACGATGATTTAACATTATTTTCCGAGAAAAAAAATTATTAATGTACAGGCGGCTACTCACCCTAGTGTGCCTATAGATAGCGGTGTGTTGTGTGCCATGTGGAAACATATTGCTGCTCTTCTCTCGTTCGTTTGTGGCAATGGTTCTTCCTCTGTACTCTCTTTTGAAATATTCCCGATGTTTCCAGAACTCTGGCAATTTCTTTCCCGCCTGGAATAGAAGAACGGTAAATGGGGCTGATTTACATGCTATTCTAAGCGGGCCTAATCATAAAAGACAATCGTCGAAACCGTTAGGATGGGAAAAGGATTTAATTCATTCAAAGTAGGCCTAAATATACAACATTAAATAATCATTGTTTTCATTATTTAAAACTAAGCGCATATTAATTGCGTGTGTCTATTAGTCGATTAACGAACGTTTCGGTGATGAGCTTTTATGTATTAAAACTTACTTATCTTTGTGAAAATTCTAAAAGTGATCAAAACGATGAGGCATATTACAATACAATAGGTGCTTATGCAGGAACGATTTCCCCAACCGAATGTTCATAAACTTATCTAATGAGGTTATGGTGTTGTCTTTGTCAGGGCCGGTGGAATTGTGAGTCGATCATACAAAAATCTGCATAGACATTATATATTTTCCGCCAAAAAGTGACGCCTCCACCTTGGTTCTCAGCCGGCCATGTTTGAAAACCATATTGTATTGTATTATTAATAATGTAGTGTTCTGGATTGTACTGTAGAGAGAGCCAATTCGATTCCACCCACTAGTAGTATTTTAGTTAAACTCTGTCTCACGAGAAATTACGTGAATTTTAGAACTGAATGTAAAATGCAAACATAATGCTATAAGGAGCAGATCTATAAGAAACACTAGTTTAGAACAATCATAAGCTTATTGCATATTCTTGCTATCATGGAGATAGTATGTAGTACAGTAGTTTACTATCCATCTTATGAGGGCGTTGTTTTAAAACAATAAATTTCCTTTTCCTACACTTCGAATGTTATCACAATGCATGTTTATACAAACTAAACATCACATAACATGACAAATGACTACTAGTTCGATGTCATCAGTGCCTTACAAATCAAGAAGATGGCTGCCCCAATTATGATACAGCATATCAGATGTCCAAAAACTGCTTCTCAGCTGCATTTGAAAAATAACATCACTGGTTATACCGATGTTCTTGTGAGCTGTGAGACGCTGATGAAGATTTCTCTTCAATTTTTCATTAGTTTCATCTATGACTTTCTTTGTGTCGTATGGTGTGGCGCCTGCCTCATCGTCACTGTCACTATTATCCGGTCGGGTAGTCTCTGAAGTGAGCTGTTCTTGGCGGGACGATTCTGTTTGAGAGTGACCAATAGAAGAGTGGTACTGGGGAGTTCTAAGACATCCTATCCACCCTTTCTCTCCTCTGTTTGTTTTAACTGATCTGCCGAGTATCAATCTATCACTTGTCTGGAATAATGACTCAATGTATTGACTGTGGCCGGGGGAGGGGGAACGAGGCGGTAACTGTATAGACGCTTTAGCAGTCGCAGGTCTTACTCTCGTCGTCTGGTGGCTTGATTTGCTTGACGGTGGACCATTCTGCCTTGAGCTTGTCCTGATAACAGGTGCGGTGAGTGGTCTGACTATTCTATTCGATTTCTTGCCATGCTCCATGCTATCTGAAAATATACACATACTAAGTATTGATCACGTGCATGATGAACACAAAATAATTTGCTGTAACACTGATAATATAAAATTAAAATCGGCGCAATATACCCTGAAAACATCATCTGGAGTCAGCCAATAATTTAATTTATTTGTCTACAGCTGCCTAGCGATGTTCTAACCCCTACTTCTCATAATATTATTATGGTTTTTACTGTGATGTTAGGTATAGTCGCCTAAATCACACCACAGTGAGTTTAAAAGATATTTTAAAAATACAAATGGAGGCACCAACTGGCCCCTAAAGTCCTGGTGAAAAGCCTGTCCACTTTCAAGAAGTATATCATTGTTAATTCGGAAAGTTTTGAATGTATTTATGGCATGCGCCCTCATCCGTTGGACATCTTTCCTGATGTTTATCATAAGCAACAACCGCACATTAGTCTCTGCATAGAGAAATTTTCTCTATGGTCTCTGTAAGATTAAAACGGAGTTTCCCTCGCGAAAAAACATCAACAAAATCTGTAAAGACAAATTATCATGCTCATCATTTATGTGAACGGCTAAATGAATTAATAATATTGGTCTCATTATTAATTAGTATTATTAGTGATAATATTGCTGTGTAATGTGTATGTTATTAACACTGATCATTGACTAATTAGTGTATACCTGACTTTTCACTGCTTGTCTTTTTACCTAATCTCATTTATTTATAGTACAGTATTTAATTAAATTTAACAACTATATTTCTCCCTTTCATTTACTTACCGGTACATATTAAATTCTAAATGTCAGTTACGAGATAATGCCTATTTTAAATTGAAAGATAATTTCTTTTTATAAAACACAGGTGCTATAAGATCTTTTCAATGCGCAATAATAATAATAATAATAATAATAATAATAATAATAATAATAACAATAACAATAACAATAATAATAATAATAATAATAATAATAATAATAATAATAATAATAATAATAATGATAATAGTGTAGTTTTAAAAAGCTCACATATCCATTTAATGTAAGATGCTCAGGGCGCTTGATATGTGGACTAGGAACTCGATCAATGACTTTCTTCGTCCCTAAGGGTCCCTTCGTGTCTGTGCTACCCGGTAACCCGGTACCAGCAACTCTGTCGTCCACTACAGGGGCTGTACACCAGGGTATCCCCCCTACTCGTCTCGAAGGATGTACTGGGTTCTTTATAGTGCACACGAGCCATTGTATACATTGGGCCTACGGTTTTTAGTCATTATCCGAGAAGACTTGTTCTACCACCAGAACCATAGGCGAGCGTGCCGTTCGAACCAGCGCCGATATTATGGCTATAGCTTGCGGCGTCCCTGCTAACCGCTCGGCCATTATACTATGCACTCCCCAACGCATTCGGGAATGCGCCACGATTCGACAGACCAATCAGCGTCGTCAATAACTGGTCGGCGTTAACGCGTAGCAATTTAATGGAAATCAACCTTAATCAATTGACTTTTACATGTACTGTCCCCATTTTTAGCCCTAATGTGATGTAACTTCATCTTCAAGTATAAATAATTATGATTTAATGAAAGTCGATCACGTCTACACGATTTATTTACATAACGTAATTAGTGTTGATAAGACCTATGAAGTATATTATCATATACAAATTCGAGGATTGTAATTTAGTCCTATGCGATACGCTGGCTATATAATCAGGCAGAGGTGGTGAATAATCATTCCTTCCTGCAATAATCAACATGGGTAATCAACCCATAGAAGATGGGTAATGTATGGTTAAACTGTGGTCAATAAATTGTTATACTGACGGGAAATAATGTAAAATGCATAGAGGCATTACCAATGATAGCTGTGATTATAATAATGATATACTGATGATTTTGATAATGATACTGATGTGGATAATGATGACTGTGTTGCTAGAGTACCGATACTGATGCTCCACCAATTATGTTTGGAATGAAAGATTTCTATTAAGTGGGCCTAGATGCGTACGGTATAGTATGTCTTCATCTCCACCAGGCCATAACACACTTTTCTAACTTTATTATACTTGTTTTTATACCCCTTCAAAATTGAATTACATGCGGTAAGAATTTTGAAGGACAAAATTAATAATAGACTTCGATCGTCTTGATTTCATTTTATACAATAATCTTATGCATTGAAAACTTGGAATCGCCAGAAAAGTTGATTACAATGCCTATTATTAACTTGGTGATCTGATTAATAACACGCGTGTATACATAGGCCTAATAGATGAGCATCGGCGTCTTATACTATGTTCCGGATGATATACTTTAATCAAACGGCAAATACTATTTCTATAAGCCAAAAATAAACCTTGTTTTCTAGTACATTTAAAGAATATGGATAGTCTTGTCACTGTCTCTTATACACATCTAGATGTGTATAAGAGACAGGCTCCATGCTATCTGAAAATATACACATACTAAGTATTATTTTTAAACGTTAAAGAAGAGGGATGTTAAGACTATCCCTGACTTTTAAAGTAGTCGAGCTTGGCGAGCTCTTGTAGCAAAGAAAATGCAGAGAACATCCATTGCCATCCTAGACATTTTGGCTTAACACGCAGAGCGAAATCGAAAATAACAAATATTCCTTATAGGTTTTCGAAAAAGTTTATATTCTTATTGTTAATTAGCATTTGTATTTAAATACTGTTACTAGAATAGTTACCGTATACTATACAATTTCTGAAAAAATATAATAATTACTAAGGGCCTATTATTAAGTTATAAAAAAAATAAGTTAAATTCGTATAAAATAATCCAGGATTATTGAAAGCTTATTATTCATAGCCTCTTCCTATGCAAAGCTAAAATAATAAGCAGCCGAATGATCAAGAAGCGCTGTATCAAGCAATTACCTACTGTTAGTGTTAGGAGTAATTACACCATTAGCCTACTGTTTGTTCATAACATTGTTAATCAGCTACAGTTAAAACCCGCTTCAAGGTTTTCATATTCCCTTCCTTTATTCTCTGCTCGACGTGTAGAGATAATTATTAAATTTTATTAAAAATATGCCCTCGACAATCCTTAGCACTCTCGTTGAAAACTTGCCAGCAATTAGGCCTACAGGAGATAATGTAACACAACTAAAGGACATTGTAATTAATTTGATTAATGTCAAAACGCACAGCAGTGTACCTAAATAAGAAATTGATAGATGCATAATATTGATGACAGTCACGTGAAAAACAACATTCATAACTGTCAACAATGTGAATTGTTGGTATGAGCATTGTGTGGTTTATATACCGCACATACATAGATTCTAGGCATCAGATTGGTTAAGATTTGAGTAATAGAAAGTAGGCCTACTATCACCCAAATGATAGTACTTTTTATGTTTATTTATAAATATTGAACACAACAGACGGACGGACTTGTGTCAAAGGGTGAACCATGGGCCACAATGTTAAAATGACATACAGAAAGGAAAAACAAAGTTACATCATGCAAATAAAAAAAAAGTAGGTTCTTATTTTTCAATTTTAGGATAAAAAAATATTACTGTAAACGCATAAAAACATTTCCTATGTCATGCATGGGTCTGGTTGAATTAGTTGGTAACCAATTAAAGGATTTTTCGTTGTAACAAATTTGTAAATGAGTAAAAAGTGAATTTATTTATTCACTTATTTTATTTATTTATATATGTTTCAGCCATGTCAAACATAAATACAAAACAATCAAATAAAAGGAAAGGAAAAACCAAACACGTGCAGAACACCTATACGAAGATGGTAAACCCTAACAAAAAAACATTAAGAAGTCCTATCATACAAAACTTATATTGACAAAGCACAGGAAAAAAGTTACGTTCTACAATTAGTACATCATCAATAGTGTCCAACTAAAAATACTATCGATATTAAAATTAGTTTAAAAGTGTATATTTAAAAAAATAGAAAATTGAGCTTTAATAGCCTGTCCAGAAATATTACAATTACGAATTTCACCAGGTAAGGTATTCCAAAAGACGAGTAGCACGTGGGATATAAGCGGCTGATATAGAAATGCGGGGAAATAGAGATAAACTAAGAGTAATACGTTGAGGATGATGAATAGTAAACACATGATCACAATTCATTTTACTTGACTACAATTATTTTGCTCTTTTTCTCATTTGAAATTGATAACTTTTAAAACAGTACTTTAAATTAGCAATTCAATGCATAGAGCCTAATATGTAGCTGTATGGTCAGCTATTGTACCGATAGTCTTCGAGGATTTTCTTTCCCAGCTCAATCAAATATGCCAACACCACAAATAAAATTGATATTGAATATTGAACCACACAAAACGCCATTTTAACAAGCAATACACTGATACTCTTGAGAAGGTTCGTTATATTTATGTTCTAATTAACGGTTTACCAGAAGTGCGTATTCAAACTCTTGTACCAGAGGTGTGGCCACAGGGTCTTATAATTTTCGCTACTAAAACAGATAAATCGTGAATAAACATCTAGATTAATGAACCACTTTTAAAGTTCAATAAGTGTGAATCATTCAATCAATTTCACATGACATAAAAAAATTGATAAAATAATTTTCAAAAATAGGGATCAGAATAATAATAATAATAATAATAATAATAATAATAATAATAATAATAATAATAATAATAATAATAATAATAATAATAATAATAATGGTCGACTTTTAGAGCGCATAATTATGGAGACCTCTATGCGCTAAACATAAACATGAACAAAAAACGGACCAAAATAGTAATACTTAATCCGTAAAGACAAGCGCTAATCCTACTCAAAGCATGGTTGGCCGTTGACTCCTAAGAGCTCATTTCTTCAGTTATTTTTATACATGTTACAATACATTAAAATGGCATATTATATATTATATATGCCTATATATAATATGAACTTAAACAGACTTAAATAGCTGAAAATACATGATTAAACAAATACCGTATTTTACTATAGTCTCGGTTAAAAAGCTTATGAATACTACCAGCATGCAGACACACCACCTCCATTCGAAAGGGTCTATAATACTTGGGCCGTAATTTCGGTATATTTAAGTTAACGTTCAAGTTAAGTCAATGATGACACTAATTTTATTACAATGCTGCTTTCACTGACACTGTGAACTTTATGTAGATTGATCTATTCAAAATAGATAAGCGAACGAGGAATACTTGACTCGATTTCCCTACCTGCTACGGTATTCTTCAGTAAAAGATCTGTAAAACGACTCAATAAATCTTATAAAACCTTGTTTTCATTCTCCATCATAACCGGGTGCTGATACTTTAACTTGAACCATGGGGTAAATTCCAATACTTTTACGGTTAGGCCTAAAATAAATACACTGCGATGTCCTCTAATGGTGGTCTGCATTGTGTGATCTTTAGACTATGACAGCGCTAAACATTGCAAGTATTTATGTTATCGATTCCTACTTTCAACAATTGCGCAAAGTGATAAGTAAAACTTCAAGTCAACACAAACCGTGGTGTGTTAAATGTTAATGTATCGATTTTCCGCAGACATTAGAAACACTATTTAACCACCTATTACCATAATAATAGCATGTGTATATATAGGCAATACTAGGCCTATTCGTATATAGGCCAAAGTGAAATTGTATGTATCAATGTAGTATCATGAATAAAGCAAACAATGTAAATGTTTAAACGAACGAGGAATACTTGACATATATACATATATATACATACATACATACGTGCAACACACATATGACTATTTTATATACATATATATATACACATATATATATACATATATGTACATTTGATAATTTATATTATATTTATTCAGCAGTGTTAACGGCTAACTTCCTTCAATAATCTAGATGTGTATAAGAGACAGTATATAGCTTGGTGGTTAACATGCTTGCCTTCCAATCCCAGGGTCCTGGGTTCAACGAACAACTCCACTCCACTCCACTCCCTAAGCCTCATAATGAGACATGTGTATCTAGTTTATATGTTTGTCTTGTGAAAGGATTGCCACTTAGTAAAGACACTTAGTATTGGCATATTCTCGGCGCTGGGCCTAAAAATTAAAATAAAATAAGATAAATAAATGTAAAAATAACATTATTAGATGTAATTCTTTTTAAGGACCGGTTTCTGACGTGCATATGGTTTCAACAAATACAAAATGTCTGCCAAAGTACTCAACAATCTTACACTAGACCTCAACACATAAACTATACAACCTCATGGTGTAGAAACCCCATAAATCCCCATATCAAACAGTACACCTTAAAACCGAAGTTCATATTTACGTAGCCCACACCATGTACTGCACAAGCTACGGCTCCTCGGACAAATTATGATACCTATAAAATGAATAACTAATGACTAAAACACCTAGGGTGTCATGGACTCCCTTCTACCAGTAGGCTCTTCATGATAAATATGCCTAATAAGTTACCTTAATCGAATGTTGCCCTTGGTCCTATTGTGTGTATTGTTCTTTCCTTTGTCCATCGAGTAACACAACATTCATTCAGTGTGTGCCGTATTGATTAGAAACGTCTATTTTTATGATTTTATTTCGTTCTTGTAGGCCTACACATTATCTTAACATAGTTCCGGGATAGTATGTGTTCATTATTATTACGTACTTACATCGTCAAAGCTGCGCATAGCGTTTTGTAACTAAATTGCAGAATAATAGGCCTAATAATTTTAGGCTTATAATTATAAATAGATTATTGTATTAACTTGTATTACAAATAATTATTATTAGGTTCTCGTTTTATAATCTTGAATTATGGTCGGTCTTATGACCACAAATATTAAAAATGAGAAATTGCATTGGTTGTCATCCTCGGCAACGGTATAAATGTTGCTGGTCTATCAGCCCCCCAGAGGTGAATCTTACATAATTTGGAGTAGAGCTGGATCCGAGAGGTCGTAATACCAATTACATCGCGTTAATTAACATCAGGATCTACATAGTCCTCCTAAGACTGGTTTTACACAGCATCACTACCGTATTTTATTCTGTAATGTGGGAGTCGGTTTTGTTACCTTACCTTAGATTAAGTCTATTATTGAGGTCAAAGCTTCATAAGGCCCGTAAAAAAAAATTATTAGTTTATCACCCCCTCCCTCATCCACTTTTGGAAAAATTCTGTTTTTTTTTTTTTTCAATCAACATATATTTTTATTTCAAAAGGTAATTTTTCCATCTTTTTTCACTTGAAACATCGGGATTTCTTACAAATATGTTTACTGGTACAACAAAACCATCTTTTTTAATATAAATTTGATTCCATGTTTTATGACTTTTTATAAATTTATCCTTAACCATTGATTTACTTGCGAACATCGGTAAAATGGGGGTAAGGTTAGCAAAAAAAAATGAATAAATAAATAAAAATAAAAAAAAATCTCCCTCCCTCATTAGTTTTATTATTTGATAGGGTGATAAACTAATAATTTTTTTATGGGGCCTAACTTAAGCTTTTATATTTTACGTGTGACAAGTTTGGAGTTTTGTGTATTTTTAAAATTGTGTAGCTCTAATGGAATTGTTGTAATTGTATAAATTGTAAAATTTGAACTGCGCATGGTTATTTCGAACGTCAAAGCATATTATCAATCACACAGCTTATAGTTATACCGTACCTCATGGCCTACTGTCGCCTGTATTTGATAGATCGTTATTACTTAACAGCTGATTTATTCGGGATATATTAGCCTAATAATGCAATCACTCTTCAGTAACTTTTAATGGGAACATACGTTTTTCTCAAATAGTTATTATCACTTATAATGAATAAACTCTAAAATACTGATCAGATTTTTATAGGCACTGTGCTGCAGGGTTTGTTTGTTTTGAATTACCTTTCGACAAATTCACGTTTGAAAAACAATAATGCTTTAAGACGCTCTTGGCGATTTTCATTTGATAATTAACAGATAAACAACTGTGTAGGGCCTACTTAATGTGAAAGAAACACCAAATTTTATGTATACTTTTTATACGAGTATAATCTCCTTTTATTTATTTATTTTTTTCAGAAATCTCCTTTTATGGACAATAAAGAAATCTTGGATCTTGAATATTATAATCGTGTATATAGCTAATTCAATACCATACCAATTTCATTGAAATCGTTCATATCCTACCAGACAAGGCAGAGTGTCAACCGGTCCTGTGAGAAATGAGTTCAAAAGTAAAGACCACCTAAACAAGGTATCGATGCGTTCAGCAAACGGAAAAAAAGAAAATTAAAAAAGGGGGGGGGGGGGGGGTGGTGGAAATAAAAAATAATCTGAACCAGTATCCCTTGCGTCTTCTTAAGCATCATGTAATGCTTTGTCATCGTATGATTGTCTTCTTCTTACGTTTAAGAGCAAACTTCATTGTTTAAGGCTACTACTTCACTGGCTCTAGCTTTTACACTTCTTAATAATAATAATAATTATAATATTAATACTATTTACTATCCATATTATTCTTCAAAACTTAGTACAATAACACTATAACGAAAACGATTATCTTAAAGTAAATTTTTGCGTGCGTACATTTGCTCTGATTAAACATCATGTGTTTCGAAGAATGATTCGATTTCATTATACTAGCCCGGTATTCAATTTTCTCTGAATTCTTAATTCATTTAAAAAGAATATTCAACTTTGCAAGATAAATATCTGCTGCATCACTTTGATTAGGTTGCTTTCTGCACAGGTGCGCGCTCACAGGTTACCCCAGTTACTTTTCATTATACTAAGTGCTGATGATATCCACTTTCGCTAAAATAGAATACCACTGAAACTAAAATTCATATGCTGTATATTGTCTGTCTCAACGAATGAAAGTTCTTACAGCCTGCTATACATCTATTCATCTTAAAGAAACATTGGCTAATGTTTTATTTGATTTTAATATAAACTGAAGTAAGCCGTAGTGTTGTTACTCCCAAATTGCATGCTAGGACACAGTGCGCATCCAACGAAATCTACGAACCCATGCTTCGCACAAAGGGATTACGTGCGCGTGGCAGTGCAGAATCTAGCCCAATGTAATTTATGAACTATGGCATTATTGGGATGATATTAGTCATTAGATGACTAATAGGCCTATGCATTAATTCATTTTATAGTCTGAACTGCGCATGCCCATATCAAGGTCAATCGATATAAACAAACATACACCACACATATACAAACTAGGTTTATGTCCAATGACCTTGGATAGCGACATGCGTAGTTCAGACTAAGAAATGGTTTATTATCGCAGAATGTAGGCCTACGTAGAATACATTATTTTAATTAGAAGCTAGCCCACAACATTGTGTGATAATACATGTTGATTAGTTTATTATCTGTTGTTATACAACAAACATAAATCTATTTGGCCAATTTAACCTATTTCTAATTTAACAGTCGAAATATATCTAAAAAATATTTTTAGGATTAAAAAAGCAAAGAAAAAAAAGCAAGTCTTTAATAACATCATGAAAATCGATATTTCTGATCAATCTTACATGACCTACTTATTAATGTTTTCATGTATAAGATATCACCAAGGCAACACGTAAACAAATTTGACCAACCATCACTACTCACAGCTGAGCATGCGCTGTGCCTGATGTACTTAAGCATCTTCTGAATGAAGTTTCATATTAGTGATCTAAATTTCATGAGATGATATAGAGTAATATATCACCCTGAAGTACACGCTGAGAGGCTGTTGAATTTTCATGCTTAACCGTACCACTCAAGACGGCACCCTTGCGCACTATTTTGAACGTAAATATTCATTGAGGAAAAGGTAGGCTTACATCATTATAGACTGTCGATTTTGTAAGGTTATAACTAAATACTGGGAAAGTACAATGGGTATTTTAGCGGAATATCAGAATAAATCTTCAATATTATGGCTAGAGGCGAATTTTAATTTGTATAAGTGGCGAATGTAGTAGACCTATAAGCTATTTTTAATTTTTCCAATCATTTAGGTCTCATTGTCATTATTATAATGGTAGATACACATTTATTAGTTGTAAGTAAACTAAGATTCAGAGACACTTTCTTTTCTGATAGTTGATACGCATGATTAATATTTAAAATCACGTGTTCGCTTATGCCTGACTAGTATAGCAAAATACGAATTCTCACCTTTATTCACAAAGTAAGAGCGTTTGTAGTACAGTTTCATTTCATAATAATAACTTTTTTGGGCAATTCCTCACATCACCTATCTTCTTCGTGCCATGAGGCACTTAAGGCCATTATTCGACAATTAACAACAATATAAAACAAAATTATGTGCGCGATTTGAAGCTAGGCCTACGTATCACAACAAGCAATTATCAATAAGTTGAATAGAAAGTCATGTCTTAGTAATTTCCTCCTCCCAACAAAATTTCGGAAATAATTATGAAAGAGCTTCTAAAATGTCACGCTTTTATAAGTCAATGTACTAGAGGCGGTGTGATGATGCAGCTCTCAGCCATCGCACACAGCGCAAGTGATTTAATAAGTGCTGACGATGTGTTCCATGGTAAATCTATTTTACGTTTAGGTCACAGCTTTCAATGTCTTTCATCGAAATTACATCTAATGAACTATATAGCAACCGGTAATTATTTTCTAGAATGATACTCTTGCCCATTTTGAAACAAAAGCAGGAGTCATGAAGACACGCTCCACACTTTTTTTTTTATGATACTCCAAAATTTCTTTATGATAGTTTCTGTGACAAAAACTAGAGAATAAAAAAAGAAATGAAGGGAAATGGGGTCTGGACGACTTCAAACATTATGTGATTTGCCATTGATTTCCCTATACCAGTTCAATGTCATCTGAGGCTTGTGTTATTAACACAAACAAGGAGGAAAAGTTTGAATGCATTTTCAATCGCAAAAAAAAAAAATAATAATAATATACGACAATATCTCAAATACATGATCACGTAAAATGACGTGTCTTTAATTAGTCTATAGCTTGCAAGAAGGTTCTCTTGTAATTGAAAAGTCTCATTGTTTTAATGAGCGTCATTGTTGATAGTTAAGATCCTGAGTAGGTTTAATGCCTCCTGTCCTTGGCAAGAACTATTAATTAGCGTTGTCATTTTTGTTATTAAGTCTAATGTATATAGATTTGGTCTAAGATAAGGTAATGCTTTGGTTGTTACCTCTGCATGATGTCATTTGCTATGACTACTATATGATACATCTCCAGTATCTTCTGTTCTCGCATCCTGACACACACCTGTATAATTCATTCGCATCCCGCGTGGGTTTATATTGTCCGTCTATAATCGCTTATGATCTTCCACGGCTGCTTTGTAGCTACCTTTCCAGTTGTATCGATTCACTATCTTTTAACCATACGGAAACGTTTTCTAATCCGGGCGCTCACTGCTTCGTACGACCGTCGGCCAACGAATCCAACTCCGCTTCCTGTCGGTGTTAGACGACGCGAAGCCGTCTGCTGATTGTGGCAGCCTGAAAAAACGATCTGATGCGCGAGCATCGTGGCGTTGCACTCTCCATAGAATCGCGTCGGCCGACGACCGTCCGGCTCAGAGTCTTGGGTCACAGGCCTATGCTAAAAATGATTGAGATCTTTGTGTATGGTTGAACTATCTACTGGATATTCTTGTAGTAGGCGAGTGTGACACCATTGTTTTTACAACTTTCCCGATTCCTATTGATCGTGTTTACTTAAGTCTTAATACATGAAAATTGTAATATTAGATAATTAAATGTTTTCCCCTCTTCTCTTTTAGACTATGTTCTATTCAAAATCTGTCTGAAGCTAACGAACAGCGAGGTACCTTAAGCAAATTTTAGCAAAATTCTGAGTTGATAATAAGCACCAAAATGTACGGTCTAATTTTGGAAAGCATTCATGAGATGATCAAAGAACATTATGGTGAGGAGAAGTGGCTAGAAATCCGCAGTAAAGCGGACATCGACGAGCATATTTTTGTGACACATGATATCTACAGTGAGCGTGTGGTTCGTCAAATTTCTGAGGCAGCGAGCGAGGTCCTTGGGGTGACTGTCTCTGAATTTATGAACGCTAGTGGGACATATTTTGTCTCTTTCATGTCTAACTACGATTACGATCGTCTCCTAGGGTGCCTTGGCCGAACCATGAGTGATTTCCTCAACGGTCTTGATAACCTTCATGAGTACATTCGCTTCAGCTACCCGAAGCTCCGACCGCCTAGCTTTTTCTGCACAGACGAGACCGAAAAGGGGCTAACACTTCACTACCGATCAAAGAGACGAGGATTCATTCACTACGTGATGGGGCAGATTATTCAAGTCGGTAGAAATTTCTACGACATGGAAATCGACGTTCAAGTTACAAGCAGCGAATATAAAAGCGGAATGCAGTCTGTCGTCTACCGATTGAACTTCGAAAATAAAAATTACCGTAGGAATACGGAAAGCGTGTCCCGCTTCATGGAAAGAGCTCCCTCCCTGCAGCCTTTACATATTTTCAAAATATTTCCCTTCCATATTGTGTTCGATGATTCTATGACCATACAAAATGTTGGTAAGTTGATTGTTATTAATCTTACGTTAATTTAAGTTATTGTTTATTGACCTTTGACATAGTCGTGATCATTTGAAACTAGGAGATTCCTTGATCAATCGATCAATCAATAAATATATAAAGCCGTTCTATATAAAGTGACTGTATGTTAAAAGGCGCTTTTACAACAGCAAAACAGAAACTACTCTGGAATATAGATATGTTTTCAGTCTTTTCTCTTCTTATTAGGATAAATGTTTTCTTCACAATTACTCATCTTTTAAATTGAACAACAAAACAAAAAACAACAAAAACGAACGACTTGATGCTTTATATACTTCCCTTACATTTTGGAATCATTTATTTTAATAAACGTTTGAAAATTAGAATAGTAGAATTATTATAATTGATTGATATTCATTAACCAGGTTTACAACGTTCGCAAAATGTTTTGTAAAAACGTTTTGTGTTTGCTGACATTAGCAACAAGCCATGACACAACGATGTGGCTTTGTGAAAGGGGACATGGTCCCAAAAAAAAAGTGAAAGTGAACATGGTCCCAAAAAAAAGTGTGCGAGTCTATTTCTTATCTCTTTTTGTTTTATTTACCTTTTCCATTTAGCTGGGTGACGTAGACTATTAGGTGCACGATATGTTTGCATATTAGTTGTACTATTTTTGTATTTTCCATATAGTCGGGCAGTGACAAAACACATGATGGCTTCAATATAAGAAAAACGCTTATTCGAGAATGGCGCTTTTGTTAAAATAAAAAGTAGGGAGTATATTTATAATTAAATCTTTAAATAAAAAATAAAAAATATACGAATTTACAATAAACCTTTTGGTAATGTTCCCGTTTATCAGGCAACGTCCTCCAGACAGCTATTCCCTATCTCGTGGGCAAACCTATTGATCAAGAATTTGAGCTGATTAGACCGCTACTAGATTTTTGCTGGGAATCGGTAAGCCTGCGTTATACTTCTAATTTAGTTGATTATTTCATTATCATTCCAAAGATTTAAAGATCTTATCTTTAATGAATCTTATTTTATGTGTAATTTTAATGTTCTTATATTGTAATTTTTCATAATTTTTTTATATTTGCATGTTATAGAATTTAACCATTTTGTGGGTGATTTTAATGGGGTTTTTTTTGGTAATTAATACCATTAACTAAACTTAAAATAATAAATTAGTAATTGCGGAATTTGTATATCTTAATAATTTTAATGTTTTTAATGTATTGTAACATTCTCGCAATTCAGTTTTCTTTTTGTAAGTTACTGCAATGAGATGAAATAAATTAAGCTTGAACTTGAAGATAAGCAACAAGACAGATAACAATACCGACAGCAAATACACTAACAATAAAATCAACAATATCACTACCAATAGCAACAGCAACAAAAACAACAAGAACAGAAACAATAATAATAATTGTTATAATAATAATTATGATAATACATGATAATAATTAGACATGTAGCGTCTTCGTATTTCTTGAATAACCTCTTACAAATTAAACTATTCAAGACTATAAGAGTGTTTAACAGTTGCTTTTAAAGAGATTAAAAAATTTATTCAAAAGATCCTAATGTAATCTCTTCAATGTTATAATAAAAAACATCGACCGGTATGTATATCATTAGGATAATACCAGAATAATAGTAACACAATGTGACAGTGAATTTCGGAAAAATTAAACAGTAGAACCCCTTTCTTTTGTACACCTTAAGTTAATGGGTTTATTTGAGGTTACAAAATACGTTTAATTTGGAGAGGAGCATTTTGGATTATTTTTCGCATAGTATAAATGTAGGAGAATTATGTCAAATGTATATACATATATCTATATGTTTACCAAACTATGTTACAATAAATAAAATATATATATATATATGTAATATTTCAGGTAATTTCGCACGTAAATAATGTGTTTGAACTAGCCGCGACAACGCTGATACGAAGACCAACCAGGACAACTCGTTCGTCAAAAAGTGTTTCACAATCATGTAAGATTTATTTTAATTAAATTTATTTAAAGTTTGAAGATTCTTTTATGAATTTCTTTTTGCTTGAATGTATTGTTTGTTTATCTTGCAAGATAATTTGAAGAAGTTAAAACGATTATGTTCATTTTCAGCAAAGCGAAATGCAAGTAAAGACAGTACCCAATCTGACGAGAGTTATTCAGGTAGGTTAACCAACAAACCAATCATTTATCAATTAAGCACTAAATAAATCAACCAGTCAATCAGTCAGTCAATCAATCAATCAATCAATCAATCAATCAATCAATCAATCAATCAATCAATCAATCAATCGATAAATCAATCAGTATATCAGTGAATTAATTAATCAATCAATCAAGTGGTAAGTTAATCAATCAATCAATCATTTAGTCAGTCACTCAATCACGCAACCGATCAATCGATCAATCAATCAATCAATTAAACAATCTTGCTTTGTCAACCATTGTCTCATCCTGTATCACATTTATTTATTATTCGACAATCTTAAGAGAGGGTGGTTCTAAAGGCAAGGTTGACATTAAGGGTAACTTGAAGAGGCCCCCTTTCAAAACAATTCAAATGCAGATATAAAAATCTTATCACTAAGTCTTCTAAGTCGTTCCACCTCGACTTAGATACACCTCACTGATATTACTGGACGCGTTCAAAAGTTTTGTTTATTCTGTAAGTTACATTGTTTGGTAAGGAAGTTGGTTGTGTTCAAAGAAAGTTTGGAATTGTTTAATGAGCTTCTTGTTTTTAACAACTAGATGCTCTAACTATGGAAGTGAACCCTCGTCGAGTACGACTCAAAGGCCAGATGCAGTACATCAAAGAGTGGGATGCCATCATGTTCCTTTGTACCCCAGTGTAAGTTATTGTTATTGTTGCTATTTTCTTTTATACTATCGATTATTATTATTGAGAGTAAAAATGTTACCTTTCAGAGTCTTTGTTTAAATGTGAGTCCAAGCGTTTGTTGTTGTCACAACATCATCATTTAGGAAACTACCTTACTGTTTCTGTGACAGTTCTATGGTTGAACAATCATGTAACAGCAGGTCACTGAAGATAGCTGGTAGGTCATATCCTGTTCAGGGTGGGCTTCTGGGTGAGGATCTCAATGCTTTCCCTTATTTTTCTTTTCCACGGCACACTACTTCCATGTTTTCCATCTGTATTATGTGTTTTGTGGAGGTGGTATTAACCCTTTATCAGAGAAAGTCCCTCCCTGGGTCCTATTAAACATTCCTGGATTCGCCACTTATATCATGTCATTTATTTTGTCGTTAAAAACATTTAGAATGCAATAACAAATATAATTTTTAAAAAAGCACATCTAAAATCCCACAATGGAATTGGCGACCAGGACACAAAATGCCACCACTCTCAGCCAAATCGTTACGCCTCTGGATTGTTCAACTATAGAACAGTCACAGAACCAGAAAGCAGTTAACTGAATGATGCTGTTGTAACAACAGCGAAAGCTAGGACTGAGATTTAAACCAAGACTCTGAAAGGTACCATTGTCACTATCATGCAAAGAACGGAGTCAGATATTAGTATACATTCTGTTATTATTATTATTATTATTATTATTATTATTATTATTATTATTATTATTATTATTATTATTATTGTTATTGTTATTGTTATTGTTATTGTTATTATTATTATTATTATTGTTATTAGGCCTATAATAATTAATATTAATATTACAGTTAGTCCTACTAATAAAAATTTTATTATTATTATTATTATTATTGTTGTTGTTGTTGTTGTTGATGCTGTTGTTGTTTTTGTTACTATTGCTGTTAATTTGACTTCCAGTCAATAAGTGAAATGGTGTAATAACAATATCGATGTAAGTGTGGGCGTTACGTAAGCTCATACTTACAACAAAATTTAAGCGATGGCATGGTGGAGTGTGGGCTCGGCATCATTCAATCATTTCATTTTATTTATTTCATCATTTGATAAAAAAATACAATATTCTAAAAAATACACAAAGCAAGGCAATTAAAAATGTTTTCAGGAGGAAGACCGGATTGCCAATAGCTAAATAAGTTGCTTTCTGTGTTGCTCCCCAACACCTCCCCACAAAGATGTGTATCCCCCCCCTCCAACAAAATAAAATATAAATAATAACGTAAACAAATGGCTGCCATTTTAATTTATATATATTTAGATTGGTAACCCAAATTGGCAATCTAAATCAGCGTCCATAATCCGTTTCACACTTAAAATAATCAAATTCACTCAGCAAGATTGTTTCACCAGTCCCTATATCAACTTATATCAACATAGATTAGTTATTAAGCCAATGGCATATTGACATATGCATTAGTTATTATCATTATAATATTTGCACTGGATATATCATTAATAGACGTTATTAAAGGGGAAATAATAACAGGGCCTCATAATAAATAGAGCCTAACATCAATAATACTAGGCCTAATTATATGTCAGTCGGGTGTTAAACGCAACGTTGAAGGAAAATCTTAAGAAAGATCAAAGTGTTATGTAACTTTTTTCAGAAGGATGACGAAACTCCAACGAAATGAGAACTCCGATAAGAACTACTATTCATTGTGCCCAAAAACAAAATCGCGTTCGCCAGCAACTTATCGTATAGCGCCGCTGCTATATTTTTTGGTCCCAAGTCCCAACAACGCCTGGCATATTCTTCTTATCAAAAAATTCAACATTTCGAAAACAATATTCGGTTAGATTGGACCAAAACAATACGATATACTGGTACGCAATATAACATGGAAAACTAGGCTAATAATTAAAAATGTGCCTTTCCATTAAGCCCCCCCCCCTTGAATATTGTTGCTATGGTGCTCAAAACGACTGTGTGAAAACACCTTAGACAATCTAAGAAGTGTGTCTGTGGGACAAAACGTGTGTTTGTTAGACACGCGCGTATTTCTGGCCCTGTTCCGATTGGTCAGTTGTTAAGTTTGATTGACACTCCAGAGAGTTTCATTGCTTTTTTATAGAATGGAAAACATAAACACAATGGCTGCAGCAGGGTTGTATGTGAATGACTTTAGCATGCATGATTCCAGTCGTGACCTTATATTGGCTGGAACACAGCAATCCACTGAGTTGAAGATGGCACTCGACCAGGTACGCCATTCATTTTGTTTGATATATTAGACTGGCCCTTAACTAACTTTGCTATACGTTTAATCTCAAAGTGTAACAAGACCAGGTTTAATAATGCATGTTCTACCTTTTATAAAATTAAATATGGTCGAAATTATAAAAATTAAATATAAACAAGTTGTCATAATCGAATGATATTTACCGTCATGATAATATCTAACCAGTTTCTGTTTAGTTAGTGGTTAAGATTAGAAGTGAGTCTTCTTGTAAGGAACACGTACCAACGCATAAACAAACACGCATTATATCCGCTAGGTACCTCACATAATACTGTACTTAGAAACTATGATTATGTAAGCCTACTCTTTAATAAAGTTTTGACAAATATGTTACTGTAATCGTTTGCCATTTCACCTTAAGGAGCAACGCAAAAGTGCCCAATTGGAAGAGAGTATGAGGAAGTTAGACGTGGAAGTAAAGAAAACAGATTCGTTACTCTATCAGATGATTCCGAAACCTGTAGCGGAAAAACTCCGCAAAGGAGACTCGGCGACGAGTACATGTGAGGTAGGACTGCAAGATGTCGTCGCTTCCTCAATACACACAACATCCTTTTATTTTATTCTATTTCAAGAATATTTTGTAAGGGTGGTCTAAACAGCCAGAGCTAATCATTAAGGACCCTCGAAACATTAAGTTACAACAAGAAACAACGGAAAATGAAATGGATTTAGTACATAATTTTAATAATACAAAAAACAAAAATGAAAATACAAATGTAAAATAACAATAACATAAATGAATAAAAACAGAAATAAGTTAAATAAAATATAAATTTTCATAAATGAATATTGAATATAATAATTTAATTAATAAGAAAAGAAACAGAATAATTATTAGATAATAAATGATAACACACAAACACACACAATTTATATAATTAATCAGATAACTAAAAGAAAATAGAAAACAAGGATGAAACAAAAAAAGAAAAAAAAATGAACCAAGTTTTTGGCCACCCTGAAGAGAGAAAACAAAAGAAAAGAACTAAACGAGGGAAAGGCTATAGAGATAGCTTTTGAGAAATGATGTAAAGGAGAAGCTTGCAGCATTTCTGATATTTTATAGAGGAAGTGAGTTAAAAAGGAGGGGAATTGAAGCTGAACAAATATTTAAACAGTTCTAGGAATACAGAGATCACCTTTAGTGATCTGGAGAGTATTCACACTGTAGGCCTTTACTATTAATATATTTTTCACACTCAGAGCAAGGACATTGCAGCGCTTGCCAATCCTATTTATATATTATGAATACACCATACAGTAAGATAGTAAAAAGAATGCGGACATTATCGTATAATAATAACATTAATCATTGGATTCCAGCCGCATATCTTTACATTTTATTTATTGATTTAAAAGTAAAATCTGCTTAAGTTCTATGAATCAACACAGCCTGATTTGGAGAGTCATGGCTGCTTTGTTGTGCTTTACGTTGTATTGATATACACATTTAAATAAAAATATATATTTTTTTATAAATATATACTGAGGCTCTAAATTGCTTAAAAATAAGAACAAAATAAAATTGAGGCTGAGGTAAAGTGTCAAATGATGTTTTTATTATTTTAAAATTAATAAACCAACAAGTCTTATCTGTGCTTTAGGTGTAGCAGTTATGACTACGTAATACCCTCTATATTACAGTAAAGTTATATACTGCTGTACAATAATGATTCTTTATATCTTTAAAACTTGTGTAATCTGAGAAAAAAGAACATTTTGAGTCAGAAATCAGCCACAAATTTTACTGGTTCTTATATTTAAAAAAAGTATACACCTAATTTGTGTTTTCTGTGTAGCATGTATCCTCGATATTATTGTACTTTTTAGACTCTTTGAATTTTTGCTATTTCGTGTTAGTGTTATATACGTTATTACCTTCACTCTAATATTAGGAGTTATTACCTGTAGGCCTATGTTTTTGATATTTTGGCAGACTTGTTCTTCTTAATTATTATAATAACACTTTCAGACATCGGGTGCTGTTCTGTATGTTTTAACGACTACATGCCTTTATAGCAACAACTAAAAACATGTACTTTTAGGCCTACAGTGTAACGCATGTCCAGTATTTCTGTGTGGCAGCGTAAAGAAATACAGAATAGTAATAATTATACAGCATATAATAGTAGCAAAAATGCGGACATATTATACAAACATTAATCATTGGATTTTTGCCACATATCTACATACAAACCTGCAAAAACTACAGGTACTTTATGCCAGTTTATTAGATCGTAATATTGAATTTTAATCCGCATCCTCATAAACCCAGAGCCTATGTTTACGTCTCAGTCAGTATGCCTACCAACTTCGTGTTTGACAATAATCAGTAATAATTTGACTTGAACACGTAATTCACATTTCTGAATGACTTGATTTAAAGGGTTACATCACTTCCCCACAGGTATTCCAGTGTGTGACGATTTTGTTCAGTGACGTGGTCGGGTTTACTACCATCTGTTCGAGAATCACACCGATGGCGGTGGTGGCCATGTTGAATAGCATGTATACAAAATTTGATAATCTCTGTGAAACATATGATGTCTATAAGGTGAGAATCAAACACATTTTGTTATGATAATTATTATGTTGACAGTAATTATGATGGTTTTAAGAAAATAATGATGAGGAATGATGACAAGGATGAAAATGATGATGTTGATGGTTAATGATGATGATGAGGGTAGGGATAATGATGATGATGATGGTGGTAATGATGATGATGATGATAGCTGTTGTATTTTTAAAAATAATTCTTAATTTGTCCTCATTCTAATTGGAAATCGGGAATTTGATGACTGGGATAATGATGATGAGGATGATGATGATGATGATGATGATGATGGTAACAATGATGATGATAGTAGTATGATGGTAATTGCTGATGTATTTTTTAAAATAATTCTATATTTGTCCTCATTCTAATGGGAAATCGGAAATTTTTAAATTGAATACAATTTGATTGGGAAAAGTTACGTAAGAGTTAATTTAGGTGCTACGGAAACATTGCCTTGTTGGACACAAATTTTAAAAACCACTTGGCTTTCTGTCGTTTGATGATGTGATCTTCGGAATTACTAATTCAAAGATGAAAACAAGAATAAACAAATCGAGTAACCATGATACAGTATCAATCAGTAAAAGAGCTTTTAAACCCAATAATGCTGCTCAGAATTTCAAATTCGTCATGAAATTTCAACCTTAAAATAAAATATGTTAATGTTCTACTCTAGTTGAATAATTAAATTCTTAACTTAGCGAAATCCAAATTAGTACTATATATAATTAATCTGGTATAAACCGGAGTACTATTTGATTAGTAGAAAAATTGAACACTCGTGAAACTGTTTATGATTACATCAAGCAATCTGTTTAATTGCGTCAGGACGTTATTATGACACAGACTTGCTTTGCTAGGTTTTGCTGTTAGGTTAATCCACCCCATACGCCTCAGGATACGTTCATATTCTCAGTTAATTGAATGATATATACGAATTTTCATCATATATAGCATGACGCCTTAAACGCAATATTAGGCCTATGTCGTATTCTAAGTCTCGGATGTAGGTTTGTCTTTGTGATGATGTTGCATGTTTTCCAATTCTGTTGTCTTTTGTTTAATCACTGCAAAATTCACTTCAAAACGCCATTCCCTAAATTGCATGAAAGCATTATTATTAGCGAAAATTAAGCCAGACAACGTCGGCTGATAATACGTTTCAACAGACAACCTTTTAATTTCACTGTTCCCTGCTTTTACCAACTCTTCGTCAACAATGACTTCACAACGCACGACTGATTCATCAGTAGACATGCTAAGGTTGATATAATATTCACACATGAAACAAACACACACAAACAACAAATGCACTAATTAAAATCATGTTCACACGAGATCAAACTGAGAATGCGTGTTATATTATATCAGTCGAGTATTAGGTACCATACACACTGCAATAGTCTCTACACAGTGTACGTTAAAACTGTGTAGTTTGTGGGGCAACACATTTGTGTTTGTAGGACAACGCGTATTCCTAGCCTGCTCTAATTGGTCAGTGTTATTGGGTTTTTGACAGGATTTGAACTGAACATCTTCGTTTCCAATGTTGAGCTCAATACACACTATCAAGATTTATTTATTTATTTGTTTGTTTCCGTTAAATCCCGCTCCTTGAATACAGTATTGTTGCCACAACAGGTCACACAACACGGCAGTGTAAAAGTATTCGGAAACACGTGCGTTTGTGAGACATGTGCGTATTAGTGGCCCTGTTCTGATTGGTCAATTGTTAAGTTTGACTGACAATCTGGAAAGGTCCATTACGAATTGCCAATAGACACGATGATGTCCATATATGGGCATGATCCTGTCATATACACATATATTGTTGAATCACAGGTATCGCTTACATGTTGATGGTGTTCAAGTTTCATGTATGTATTTCTCTCTATTAGGTGGAGACAATTGGAGATGCTTACATGATAGTGTCCGGGGCTCCGACCCCGACTGATGACCACGCCTTAAGGGTATCTGAAATGGCCCTGTCCATGATAGAAGCTATGCATGACTTAAAAGAACCCGACACAGGTGAACATATGAAGATACGCGCAGGTAAGTAGATCACTAAAGCCGGGCACTCACTGCGTCGTGCGACGGTCGTACGACGAATCCAACTCCGCTTCCTGTGAGCGCTAGACGACGCGACGCCGTCTGCTGATGGTCGGTGGCCATCTGCCGAGATCGTCATTGTGCGCGCGTCGTCGCGTTGCGTCCTACATAGCATCGCGTCGACTGACGACTGTCGGAGGCAGTAGGTACACGGCTTTTGTTTCACTTGATAACATTTGGATATAACATTCTTACACAAATTATACATACTGTTATTAGTTAAATTAGTTATTTATTAGTATACTTAAGCAGCGTGATGACAATGGACGTGTGGTATAAGTCCTCCAAACTATTATAGTCATAACTGAAACTAATTCAGCTCCTAGTTTAATTTAGCCAACTACTTTCTCGAAAATTAATCGAGAAACGGACGGTACAAACGGATTCAACTGAATGTCATGGTATTCTATACAGGAGTCCACTCGGGAGTAGTAGTTGCCGGAGTGGTTGGCTTGAAAATGCCCCGGTACTGCTTGTTTGGTGACACTGTTAACACCGCCTCAAGAATGGAATCTACCAGCGAGGGACAGCGCATTCACATCAGTCAAGTTACTAAGGACGTCCTAGGTAACTGTCCGTATGTTATCGAAGAAAGAGGCTCAATCGAAGTTAAGGTATGAATCAGTCGTAGAGGGGGTGATTTTGAATTATTACAGCAAGTATTTTTTTATTTTATCTTGTTCTGAGTAGGCTACCGCATCATCATCATTTGCGCGAGCAATTCGATGTAAAAATAGAAAAATAAAATGTTCAAAATGTCTAAACGAAGAAAAGTCCAACATGCTTTAGTTAAAAACGACAAAATTAGTAGGCCTATTATCATGCCATTTCGTATTTAATTTTGGCGATGGTCTGACCATAGTGATGGCGGCGCTATCTCAAAATCGGGAATGTGCAACTTCGTCACTCCCTTCGCGTTCGTGCCTGTTCATAAATTAAAATTTCAGTTTCTTGTGGCCTAAAAACGCATTGAAACGGTTTTTACTGTGGAAGGTGCTATAAGAATGACCATTGACCACAGTCCAGTAAAATATATAATGCTAAATATATTTACATGTTCAACAATTTCAGCCAAAAGAAACACGAGAATATTTGGGATGTTTATAAGCCTAACGCTTATCAAAAATCATTTACACACCGCCACTGATACCTGATGTACTTGTCAATAACGTGACATCAATTATTTTAACTTCTTTCCAGCATTATTTAACCTAGGCCTGTGTGAATAATAACGTCGATGAAATTGGCTGGAAGCCGGTTGCTGTTAGAGTGCTTTTTCTGGAACATGCAATATTAGAATACATTTTTTTTTTTCAATCAGGATAATGCTACCAAATTGATTATTTTGTAAATTTATTCATTGTATTTTTCTCTCCTGAAATGATAGACCAGAAGAGCATTAAATTCAGGGTAAACATATATTATATTTCCTTAATACAATTTAATGAATTTATTCATTAAATTTAAAATAAAATTAAATACTTAATATCAAAGCGGTGAATGTGTAACGTGAGCTTTTGATTACGTTTGTCATTTTCCCTTTTATATCAAATATTCTATACATTTATTCAAATTAATAATTATATATAGGCTTATATATCATATGTATATATATAAGGCAAGCATCTTAACCCCATTGAAATTCTAATACCTGTCTCTTATACACATCTAGATGTGTATAAGAGACAGAGTACGAATGTACGTTCTATTCTCGTCTGATGGATTCTAGTATTCAAACCTGCCAGCGCCCGACCCTGAACTAAACTATAGTGCAAAGGATGAATATTTCACATCCAGACGTTCATTTTACAGTTCAAATCCCACATAACACTTAATGCAATTTTTTGTTAAAATACTTTTAATCAGGGCAAAGGATCTATGAAGACCTATTGGTTAAAGGGCCGTAGAGATGATGCACCGCCATTCACTTGTTTTAAGAAACTTGGTTACCATGACAGCGACGACTCAGAACTGTAAGTCAAACTGTATTATTTGTTTTCTGTTTTCGCTCCGTATGAGAAAGGCGGATAATTTCCATGTATTATTTGTTTCATCTTTCCATTCCTTACAACAGCTGGTTGCACTAAGATTGGAGCTCATGCTCTACATAAATCTCTGTCCAGACTGTAGCAGTTTCTTTGACAAAATATGACGTAGGCCTATTCTCATATATAGTCATGATGTGATGTGCTCTTCAAATAGGCCTAGCTCAACTTCTTTCAGCGCCGGTGACGATGTGATGTGCTCTTCAAATAGGCCTAGCTCAACTTCTTTCAGCGCCGGTGACAAGTCTTTTTTTTTTTTTTTTAGTTTTTTTTTTTTCTTCTTTCAGCGCCGGTGACAAGTCTTTTTTTTTTTTAGTTTTTTTTTTATTTATTTATTTTTTGGTTTGTTTTTGCTTTAATAGGCGCTTTAGAAATGGGCATTTTTCAGCAAACTCAGAAAAAAAAATGAGAATTTTAAAATTGACTTTATTAAGTCAGGTTTGGTACCATATGAAAGGAATTTTTAGTTTAGGTCAAATTTACATAAATGACCAATTGCCATTGCTAATTTGCATATGCAAATTAGCATAATTTGAAGTAGCAAAATAAGGGTTGACATTGCATTTTTAACATTCCTAAAAAATACAATATTTAATTTAATACAAAATAAATTTGATATGTACGGCAATTAAAATAAAATTTAGTAAGTTAAATTGTTGTAAACATTTTTATTTCATGACCCATTGATTTCATAAAGTCTAAGTTTCTCGATGTCACGCTCTGACGTAAAAAGTGATTGTTATTTCAAATACTCCTGGATGAAATTTCAAAATGTATGGCAAAGTTCTGAAGCACAGTTCTGAAAAAAAACATTGATACCTACTAAGAAATCATTTTCATTTTCCTTAAGAACTCACCCCAACAGAGAAGAAAATGCATTCGATTCGTCACGCTGCGACGTTTTTGCGTGACAGCGTGACAGCAGTATTTTTTTTATTAACATACTGAGACCTTCCCCAATTTTTTTGAAGTTAAATTCATATTTCAGTAATCTGCATATTGCTGCTTACCAGGAAAAATATTTTTTTTGTAAACATTTTTACTTCATGGACCATTGATCTAGTAATAACCTATACTTTTCTATGTTTATGTGCTGTGACATAAAAGTGACTTTTTAAAGTTTATTTAAACACTAGTGAATTAATTTTTTTAATGACATTCATACATTTAAAATCATGTTAATTTAATTGAAGACTTTCAGCAACCAAGAGAAAAGTACTTCGAAGTTTGTCACGCCATGACGATTTGGAGTCACGGCGTGACGTCACGACCTGACATTAGTCTCTATATGGATATTTTTCAATGCTATTCTTTCAATTGTGTGCTAAATAAACATTATTGGTTTTGGATCATGAAGTATCATGCATTTCAATAATTGTGTAGAGTTTTTTTAAGAGAATCCATTTAATTACTTTACATTATCATACGATTTGTATGCATACCAGTAACGTCTGGATCTGATCGACTTGGTTGACACCTGGCTTTTTATGTAAAGGATTTAAATTGTTTCCGAGTATTTATTCAGTTAATATTGTATTTATTTTACCATATTGTTTAAGTTTGAGCAATTTTCTGTTAATATATTATAATCTATAAATGCTATAAAATGGTGATAATTCACATGTCACGCGATGATGGTCACGCCGTGACGCTAACCCCTAATGCATTTTGGCATATTATTCAAAGCATCCTGAATTGAAAATAAATTAAGGTGTTTAAATAACTAAAATAAAGTAAAGTATGTAGTGTACTTTCACAGGAATTTTCATTTTAAATTTAACCCTAAAAACATGTAAAAAGAAATGTCACGCCGTGACGCTCGAAAGAAACAATATTTTTGCTATGATAGCGATATATAATTGTCAAATGTTTAGTAAATTCTTATAGTCTTATGCATGCCTGTCTTAGGTACCAGTTATGTCCACCAAAGGTATCTACTATTTTTGAAAAACTGCTATTAGTGTAGACATTTTTGCTAAAATGTCACGCTGTGACAATGCCCAAAATATGTGTTTTATTATTTATTAATATATGGTCATGATGTGATGTCATCATGATCATGTTTAGGCATGTTTTTGTCAAATAAAATGTAATAGTCTGCATATAATGACTACGGTGCTATCATTGCATCGTACATTGCGTAGTTGTCCCCGGACCAATCGGGAAGGCTCCTCGATTCGACGAACCAATCAGCGTCGACGATAGCTGTCGGTGATAGTATGTAGCAATTTTATGGAAACTTTAATCACATGAAGTTTGAAAAGCAGTCGTTTTTAGGCGTGAGAAAATTAATTTTGTTTTGACAGGGTTTGAACCTGAACCATGGAATTAGGAGGCAAGCATCTTAACCCCATTGAAATTCTAATACTTTATGATTTATTGAAATAATACTCGATACGAAATCATAATTAGGCCTATATATATATATATATATATATATATGGAGTGTATAAATTATTCCCCGATAAATTATCAAAGAAAGGTAAATACAGTGTTCGAATAAAGGACTTAATAAATACATCGTGTAGCATAGCTCTCAACGAATGTAGTCCTGTGAATAAATGAATAAAGAAATTGTGTAATAAAATGCCTCTGGCGGGACTCGAACCTGCGACCTCTCGCTGTCAAGGCGAGTGTCATAACCACTAGACCACGGAGGCTTCATGGTTGAACAGATTCAAATACCACCAGATACACTCTATTACACAATAGGTACGGCTAGAAACAAATAAGTGCATATAACATAAATCAAGGTAGCCGTTAACACTGTTAAATCATATATGAATTATCAAAGAAAGGTAAATACAGTGTTCGAATAAAGGACTTAATAAATACA